AACCGTCTCCTTCGAAATGTCGCCGTCGTTTTGCTCCAGCAGAATCTCCGTCGCTCTCTTCCTCGTTATCTCCGCCGTTCCGTTAGCTTACATCATCTCCTTAGAGCGAGCTCTTCCTTCGACGCATGTCATCTCTTACCACAGCTCCGGCTTCTTCCGCGAATGCGCCAAATGGGACGATGTTGGTCGGAGATTCCTCGTCTCCTTCCTCGACGGAGGTGGAATCGGAGAGATTGTTCCTAGAGATTCCGGCGACGACGTTCTCGAGGAAGTCACTTTAGTCAAAGACGTTGATCTCGCCGGTAACGCTTCCGCCGGAATCGTTATCGACCGTGATAGAAACCGTCTCCTCGTCGCCGTCGTCGATGTGCTCGGAAATCGATTTAGCGCTTTAGCTGCTTATGATTTGTCCACGTGGCGTCGTATCTTCCTCACAGAGCTTAGCCTCCATAGTAAGGCTCTTCTAAATCTCTCTGCATAGTTTTGAAATCAGATTATAAGCAATTTGTGAAAACAGTTGAGAATTAGGTTCAGTCTCTGTGTTGATTTTTTTTTTTTGTCAACAATGAGTCAATCACCATAGATTAAATCAATTGCTACGGATTGGATTGGATGGTTTCTGGTTTCCTTGACGGACAACCTTAAACGGAAATGTCTGACTTACATTGGAGAATACATAACCTCTGTGTTGTTGATTGAGAACAGAAATTTGGCTTGGTGAATGTGTAGGTGAAGAGAAATCGTTTGCAGATGATGTAGCGATTGATGGAAAAGGCAATGCTTATGTTACTGATGCAAAAGCTAGTAAAATATGGAAAGTTGATGTTAATGGGAAGTTTGTATCCACCATCAAAAGCCCTCTCTTTACACCACCTGGATGGTACAATAACCTTGTAGCTCTTAACGGGATTGTTTATCATCCGGACGGGTTCCTTATCGTCATCCATACTTTCTCCGGTTTATTATACAAAATCGACTTAACCGGTGAGGATGATAGTAATAGAGTCAGTGTAATTGAAGTCACTGGTGGTACATTGAGGTTTGGAGATGGGCTTGAGTTGTTGTCTCCGACTAAGATTGTTGTTGCAGGTATAATTTAACATCTTTTTGATAAAGTTCTGATTTTTATGTAGACATTTTGGATTTGAGTTTTTGAACGATTTGTGAGTGTTTTCAGGTAGTCCGTCTGCGAAATTGGTCGAGAGCTCAGACGGGTGGCGGACGGCTTCTGTTACGGGTTGGTTCAGTAGCGGTATGGTTCATCGGATAGTCTCTGCAGCTACTGTGAAAGAAGGAAGTGTTTATCTAACACACATTGTTGGGTTTGGGTCTAAGAAGAGACACATACTTGTAGAAGCTGTGTTTTAGAGTTTTTTAGTGTTAAGTTATGGTGCTAATGACCTCTGTTTATGATTCGACTGAAATCTAATTGTAAAGCTCGTCTTTATAATCTATATTAGATAAACATTCATTAGAAAATCTTTAACATCTTTCTCATTACAAAAACATCAACCAAAAAAAAACACTTTCCACTAATAACTTTATATAACCAATGGTTATTATACTTACACTTTATTGTCACCTTCATTGTCATAATGAACAT